GAGTCAGCTGCCCCCTGACTTCCTCTTTCCATTATACACGCAGCTGTGTGTATGTGTACATAGTTCGCTGGAGTTGTCCTTTTTGCTGCTCTCCCATGTGCACATCGTTTTCCTTGTTTTGCATAAAGAAGACCGTTTGCTAGAAAATTTTGACGGCTCTTTTTAAGTCACGAAAGGGCAGCATATTTTGGGGGTGTAGCTAGGTTAAGTACCTAAAGATCACAATGGTTGGTCTATTAGTATGTTCACGTACGGTATCTTTCTGCGAAAGACCTCCGACGATTTACCAAGTATTACCTAGCAGGTCCTTAAATCGCTAGGTCTACATCTGTACTGGGTTTTGTTTCCGCCGGAGCCGACATCAACTAAAAGTAATAAGATTTCCTCCGATGTGTGATACACGGCTATGCGTATCGCGTTTTCAGTTTATACTTGGTACATTTGTGGTCTGGCCGGCCTCGATGATTTCATGTACTTTACCTTTCACGCGTGAGGACCCTCAACAGCAGTTCTGGACAACTCAAAGGAGGTCGAATACCGAAGGTTCAAGAAGCGCTTCTATATCTTGACAAACTGTTTGGAGCCAGTTCTCTTCGACAGCCCCAGGCGGGGTCGGGAGAGCAACACGGAGATCGTGATGTGGATGGTAAGAAACATGCCCAAATCATCATTTCTCTTTCCTGGGTGCCATTGCGATATTGTTGCAGCAAGCGCGGACTGTCCATGTACTTCACTCGATGGTAATCAGGCAGCGGTGGTTAAATGAGCTTAATTGTCGCTTACAATAGTAGAAGAGAACTGAGGGAATGGATCCATGGCACACGTGGCTGTTCGTGATGACAATGAGCTTTCTTCGGACGCGTGGGCGATTTCTATGCGAAAATCCTGCCAGCGACGAAAATTTCATTTTTAGTCCGTCAACTTGCTTGCAACTTCGCATTGAGATGTTGGAAATTATTTATTTTGAGCTGAAACCTGCTTATCCCGAGGTTGCCTTCTGCTGGTTTGGCATACAACTCGTAAACTAGTTGGTTCCCCTAGCGTTTATGGATAAACCGACCGCAGAAGCTTGAGGTTAGCAAGGCGATATTTTCACCGTAGTCCAA